CCCCAAAACCCCAAAACCCCAAAACCCCAAAACCCCAAAACCCCATGAGTGAAAATCCCATCTTTAGTTATAATAAAATATTATTAAGACAAACCATGGACTCAAAAGTATGTCACAACTATAGTAATTTCCGCTCAAATTATCCGGCTGTTTTGCGCACAAATTAGATTTCTTCATGAACAAATTTGAACTTTCCCTGCTAAAAATGATAATTGGGCGGATCATTATAAGAATAAACACCAAGAAAAGCAAGTTTTGGGTTAATAATAACTTTCGAACATCTATTCGTAACCTTATTTAAGATTTTTAACACTGATTTAACTTATGAGGATCCATTAAAAACTCCAAAGAGCCTCTCATGGACTCTCAGAGGTATTTTAGAGGGTGATTAATACCTGAAGTTTCTGAAACATTCTGTCTCATTCCTTCTTATCTGGTTAATATACTATGGAATTTCATAGACAACACCCTACTCGAAAAAACTGTTGTGCCTTTAACCACAATAAGCGAAGAGTTATGCCCAAGCGGAGAGGAATTATGATTCAGAAGAATGCCAAGCCAAAGCCGAAGATAAAGGTATTGCCTGGCCTAATGATCTAGGTTGAAAAGCAAAATCTATCAAACATTCTCTCCCAAGGCGCCTCCAAGAATAAACAAGAGATGGAAGCCCTTCTTTCAACTCACGGAGGAGGTTTCAAAACCGATTTTGGCCTTAGGGGAACTATCGATTTCGGAGAAGAAACTAAGAACGATGGATGGAACCGCCTCTTTGGGTACATAAATGGTACAATCAAGGACGAGCGGATAGATGATGCTATCGAGCAGCGCAGACTTTTTAAGGATCAAAAACATTTCCCGAAAAAGAAGCTTGAACCAATCAACCCGAAAATTCCAACATCTCCAGAAAGTAAGTTTTTATACACTTTTACAGTTGCAAAATTTTTGAATAGGTCTCACTGATATTACCAAGGTCTTTTTGGATAAGATGAAACAACAAAAGAAGACTAAGAAAACAAAGAAGATTAAGCAAATAAAATTAGTGGTAAGGCATAAAAGATGCTCCTAAATACCTCTAAATTTATTCCACTATCTCCTAGGCAGACATTATTTTACCGATTTCAGCCAGTTTCATAACTTAATAATCTTTTCTAATTATGCTAAAACCTCATTTCCCTTAGAAACTCGACTGTGAAAACTCTAAGTATTACCAACAATTACAACTATTTTTGCAAAAGCCCTCTCATTTTTATAAACTGAGTTATGAAAAACCTTAATAAATCGGGTGCTGAAGCAACATGTGAAAGAAAGTTTATAAACCATTACGAAGATCAAAGAATTTTCGAAGTTATATTCAGAAGTAGTCAATAAATAGGCTATTTCCTCATTTAAAGCATTCGTCTCTCATATTGGTAAGAGACCTCCAAAAATTTACGATACAATCATTTCTTCCAAATGTTTTGAATAATTCAACAAGATGACTAATGAACTTTAGAAAAATTTCAAACAGAAGAAGAAGGTAACAAGGTAAGCGACTGGTAGATATAATTTTACTACTAAAAAGAGCCATGAATCTTTCATTCCCTTCGTAGAGCTAACTGTGCTGGGTTTTGGTAGAACAATAGTAAAACATGGGTTCTTAAATATCCATATCATTCATGATGAAATTCTGATAAGGCCCTATTATCAGAGATATTAGAACCATAAATATCAAAAATATGTTAATTAATGAACCACAAATAAATAATTCCTAGTAATTTTGCTCAAATCGGAATGACTAAAGTAACTTTAGAAACCGGCCTGACTTTGTAACTCCACCTCCAAAGCTGAATAATACTCTGAATATCCAATATTGAGAAGAACCTGAAACTAATTATAAGCATAAGAGGAATCTGAACAATCTTAAGGAATCTATCAGTAAGCTGAGTACAGATTTTAACAACGACAGGATGATGTTCCAGAGCATGATAAAGAGCACTACTAAGAAGAGGAACCCTCAGTTCTTCAACCAACAGTATTTCAAAAGTATTGATGCAGCTGCCAATAATGAAGAAATGCTTCCCTCTATCCATGCCAGTTCTAATGTTAAAAGATTTCCAGTCAAAAGTCCGGTGATGGAATCTATCAGAGCTAGTAGGAATCTTGGCGCTAAGAACTTCATGAGTGCTCAAAGAGTTGATTCACCCTCGAAATATAGCTCTGATGATGATGTATCACAAGTCAGTAAAGTCTCCAGTAAGTACTACCTCTGAGCATAGTGTTTATCATAGTATTAGACTTAGTTCTCCCGTACATTTAATGCTACTATTTCTTTCCTAATTTTGGGGTTAATAATTATCTAGACATGAGAAAGAGCTACATTAGAGCCAGGAAGAACAAACTGAACACATCTACTCTCAACAAGGGTACCTTCTTTGTTCACAAGAGGGAGAAAAGCGCTAAACCGGCTGAGAAACACCAAAGTGTGATCAGAGCTTCTACCTTCCTTAATAACTCTGTCATATTCAGCAGCATTAATAAGAATCCGAAGAGTAAGCTTCGTTCAAATTATCTATAGAGAAAGAATCAGAAGCTAGGAAGAGCAAAAATGTATTTTCTGATAGGAGGACTTCTAAATCTTTTGTCGAGAAAGTAGGGTTTAATAACCACCTTGCTGTGAACAATCTTCAACAATCTTACATTATGAATCCCTGAATCGAGAGCAAAGAGGGATCAGAAGATTTCGGAGACTTTGGAGATGTCATGGAGCATGACATAATTACCTCCCAGAATTTTTCCGGCAGGCAGAAAAGAGGTAAACTGAGTATATTAATTCGAAAATTTTGCCTAAAAATATCCTAGCTGGATATAAATGCTGCATTATAGCATGCCTCCGAGACTATCAGGGTATTTTTTATAAACTTTGTCTTTTAGCCTGGGTTGGTGCTCATCCATTTAAAAATTCTGAAATATCGCTCAAATTTTACCCTACAATCTTTATTTTCTAGCCAACAGTAAAAATATGAATGAAAATTTTAAGGAATCTTAACTAACTATTGATATTAGGAGTTTCTCTCAAATCTGACGGTAAGGCCTACTCAAAGCAGAACACAGACGAAAATAAAAGAAGATGTACTACCAAAGCTGGCACCAATGATGGAGGACCGGGTGAGAGAGGGGTCTTGACTACAAGTCCTGAAGATCATCTTTCCGATAACTATTGTATTTCCCCCGATCATAGCAACTCCTAAATAACCCTATAATATCTGATTTTCCGCTAATAAAGTGATAAAGATGACTTTATGCATTTGGCTAACTATTAGACTCTGGCTGGCGAAGCCAACACTCCAGGCCCAACCCTTTTCCATTCCAATAAGCATCTCATCTTTAATTAAATTGATAATTTATACTTAACATTGTCGCTCTCAGTATTATGAGGCTTACTTGGGGTTTTGGGGTTTTGGGGTTTTGGGGTTTTGGGG